TTTTAAAATTTAAAAATGTTCAAATATAGATTATATTTGGAAGTTATTGGATAAAAAAGATGTTGGATTCCTAAGCAAGTCAATTTTGATGTATTAAAAGAGGAATCCATGCATTTTGTTAGTTTGATATCGAAGGGTGTCTAGGTTCTAAATTCTAGAAATTTGGAGCCTCATATACATTCAAATACAAAACATGTCAATCATCAACCAACGATATAGGGTTTTTATCAAGCATTTAAAACACTCTATACACAATTACATATGTAAACCACTTAACTTATCTAGATACACCATTAATTTTTTGAAGCCTATATATATATAAAAAAATTATAAGAGTTTGTGGATATTTTCTAGTGGAGAAGCTTCTAGAGTATGTGCATGAAAAAAGAATGCTCCGCATTCGTGACTCATCTTTTTTACTAGAATATGAAGATGCAACCAATGAATATGCAACACGAAAATGCAAATATTTTTTTTGATGGAAAAGTAGTAACCTTCATTCAGGAGAATATAGTTTACTCTTGTATCTTAAGCTTTTTAATAGAAGGGAAAGAAAACATTGGCATTGCCATGCAATCATACACGTGGAAATGAGATGAACATCACAAGGAAAGATTAATAAAAAGTGGCTTATTTGAGTCACATTTGAAAGTACATGACCAGTTTGGAAAAAAAAAATGATTGGATGATATTTCAACATTTTAAATATATTATATGGACTAATAATTTATTTAACTTATTGATGTGAGCATGAACATGGACTATAAAGAGAAGGTTCTATCCAAAGGATTCAGAAAATAATTGCACCTAGTTCGGGATTTATACTTTAATTTTAATTAATTTTTTATGTAATTATAATTTTAAATTAAGAGATTTTTATTTTATTTTTTTATTCACATGATCTATCTTATAAATAGGTCATTAAGTCTTCATTATAAGGATTCAAAAATTACCACAATAATATTAAGAGTATTTTTTTTTTTTTTCAAAAGAGATTCTTCTACCATCTTGTTGAGTAAGAAGTTGATATACTTATCAAAGTACGATGTTGTGGCATTTTTTCATTTTATTTCTTTCATTTTCTGTGACCTTACTTCCTATTATTCTTGATAACGGGTTAAGTAACAAAATTTTTTGTAGGATCAATTCCTTTGATACATTTAAATGAAATTGTATGAGTTCCTAATCACGTTGGTCGATATTCGGTTGCACATCACTTATTTATATTTTATATTTATAATTAAAATATATAATATATAATATATTATATATAGGATTGAGTTTGCACGAGTGTTTCATATTCGAATTTAAATCAAACTTATTCTAATACAAAGAAAAGATCCAAACCAATTTGATATTATTTGTTTATTTTTTTTTTTCAAAGAACCAGAACAATTTTTAGAGAGTTGGTTACCATTTCTATTTTTTATATAAATTACCTCCCTTATGAACAAAATAATTACACCCCCCACTAGGAATTACATCACATCTTCAAAAAACAAGACTTTGTTTCCCTATCTTGTAGCAGCTTTTTCATATTGATTCATAACTTTTAAAATACTAAAATATAGACTTCATCTTTCTTATAAAGTTTTCTTTCATCATATTTCTTTAAATGTTAAAAAAATTATTATTCGAGATATTGACGTAAATGACTCGTTAAGTTATCTCAACCTATTCCAGACGAGGTAGATAAAAATTTATAATTAACGAAATATGGTTGTATATGCACACAAAGTTATAATGTAACACCCCAATTATTATTATTATTAGTATTATTTTATTTTAATTTTTTTTTGTAATTTTTATATGAATATATGAATTTTTACATGGTTTTAATTTAGTTTAATTTAATTAAATAGAAATAATAATAATAATAAAAATGGGTAAAATTATTTTAGAGATTTAATTGAAAGCAATTTTGGAAAAAATGGATAAAAATTTAGGTTCTGGGGGTATTTTTGAAAGAAAATTTAAAAATCAAGAATCAAAATATAATTTAAAAAAATTATGCCACGTCAGTAGCCCCAGCCAACCAGAACGTGCCGCGTGGCAGAGACATTGATGCAGGAGGCCACGTGGAAGGGAGCCACGTGGGTGATCCGCGTGCGTGCGATCGAACGGTTGAGATCCGTTCCCGCGCGCACGGACGGCTAAGATTGAATCAAGCACGGATGACCCAGATTGCATCGCGATGAAAAGTTCAGATTCATTTTCTTTTTAATCGTAATCGGACGACACTAATTAAATCACGATGGACGGCACTGATTAAATTACGATGGATGGCTCATATTAAAAGCAAAAGGTTATAAATAATCTCATACACACCCAAACCCTAACCCTAGCCGCCAGAGCCCTCGCCGAAGAAGACAGCCCAGCCGCCGGGGAGCCGACCACCGCCACTCGCAGCTGCACCGGAGCACTTTTCGGCCGCCAAACGAGGTAAAAATTCTTCCCTTGGCTCAGAATTCGATTCTAAACCCACATGTAGCCAAATTGGAGCCAAAACACCGGCCAATTGGCTAAAAAACGTCGCCGAAGCCCAGCGGCACCGCCACAGATTTTCTCGATTTTTGCCTCCGATGAGGCCCTTCCCGATTCCCGTTTGATATAATTTTTACACCATTGTGACCATTGTTCCTTTCTCTACAGGTTGATCGAAGCTAAACATTAAATCGCGACTCGAGCCGGAAGAGCCGTCGTACCAGAGAGCCCCGCCGCTAGTAAGTTTCGATTTTTGGTATTTTTCGGCTCACCAAGGACCCTAGGAGTGTTTTCTCACAGGAACCAATGCAAGTTTGGCCGAATTCGGTCAAAAACAGCTGGAAACGACCAACCTGAGGCGGATCGCCACCGTTTACGGCCGCACCGTCACCGGAGCACGGCGGAGCTGTCGTGCTGGAATTCTGAAATTGGCCGAATAGGCCTTGGGTCTGATTTTTGAGTTATTTGGGACATGTGTAGGTACCGTAAGCGCGTTTCAGTTTTCGAAAAGAAATTCAGGGAACCCAGGGACTGCCCGTAGGCGCAGTGAAAATTCAATTTTCGGCTTCGAATCAAGTAAAGACCCCTCACTTTATTTCCTATCACGAGATTAAAGTTTAATAAATGATAAAACTGTATTTTATGAATTAAATAGATATACATAAGTATTATGGTTGCTAATAGAGCCCCAAACCGAACATATTTCTCTATCAGTTCCTGTTTGATGTATCTTATAGTCTAAATGCAGTATAGTATCTGATTTATTTATTATATGGTTTTGAATGCATAAATTACTGTTTACTTCATTATGGCTTGATTTTGTGAATCCGATGATATACTTGCCTTATTGGATACTCGTTACTTATTTAAAGTATTCATGTTTATGTGGAAAACGGAAAACTAAGAAAAAATTAGAAAAGGTATGTGAATTGATAAATGGATAAGTTGACAGTCTCACTAGATATCCTGGGAGATGGTAGACGGACCGGGTCCATAGGGAACCCTACTAGGAACGTTGTCTCATACCGGATGGGGTATGGAGACTTTAAATATTTTGGTGCTCATACCGGACAGGGTATGGAGACGGCCCTGAAAATTAAGTTTGTCAAGGGAATGGTTCACGGGTAGCGGGGACCCCTATGGATCCCCACAGATACTAGTAGACTAATAAAAAGGGGGCAACTGTTGTTTGATGATTGAAATATAAAAGTATGACATGTACTATGTTACAGATTATGTATAAACTTATAATATCTATGATGTTATTGTTTCCATAGATCTTTTAGTTTTTATAAATCCCACTGAGGTAAGTGGACGGTAAATGATTTGATTATTGATAAATAAAGTTACTTGAAATTTGTACTCAATTAGTTGTTTTTGGTTTTCTACCAACCTTTATTTCTGTGACAATGATATAGTGTGATGTCTTTATTGAGTTAGTGTAGTTCATTCCTTACTTAATCATTTCAGATCAAGAGGGCTTGGTTCCCGAGCCCGATTTACAAAAAGACGGCGAGTAGTTATCTAGATGTTTATTAGTTTCTTTCATAGTATTTCATTTTCAGTATTTTTCTTTAGAGGACTTATTTTCGGTATTATTAGTACGTTTAAGTTATTGTGTAAGAGATATTAACCAGAATCTTTTATTTCGCTTCCGCATTTATATTTTTTATATATATTTTCTTTTTAAATTTCTGAAGTCGTTACATATAAACTTAAATATGTATGGATTTGAGTATAATTTTCATAATTTACATGCTCAGCATCTATCTCATTATGAATATAATTAAGAAAATTTTATTTTTATTTTAATTATATTTAAATTAGTATAATTTTAATTAATAAAGATTTAATATTATATATTGATAGTGTTATTTTATACTTGTTATTGAGCATTATGTCTAAATATTATTTTAAATTATATTTTATTTTGATTAACACAAAATTTTTTAGAAATTTTTTAAAATTAAATAAGGGATAAATGGGGTGGAGAACTGTTAAAAAGTTTTATTTATAGAGCAAATGTCAAATAAAAAACTACCTATATGCTTCGAGTATAAAATAATTATGAATTTAAATTTTTTATTAACTGAAAAGACATTAAAATTGATGAACTCATATTTAATTGTTATACCAAAGTCATATGTCAATTATGTAGAAGGATTTGATTTGAAACAAGGTAAAAAGTTATATCAATAATTATAAAATTTTAAAAGTAAATGACAAATTTAAAAAAAAAAACAACAAAAGTCTTAAAATAATAGCTTAATTTTAGTAATGGATTTTGATTTATATTTATTTTTTGATTTAGTCTGTCAATTCTATCAGTTGTAGCAATTAAATATTAAATATTTTATTTTTTTAAAATGAATTATTTAATTAATTAAAATATGTAGATTATTAGATATATTATTACTATGTAACTAACCATGTTATCACAACTGCCATAAAGATTTAATTTATAACAAGTTTAACCGATGATTAAATAAAAGGTAATAATCATATCATTAATTTTTAATGATACGACTTCACATTCACTGAAACACTTCTGGTCTAGAGAAGTCTGCTTCTCTATCCAATTCATCTTCCAGAGAAGGAGTGAGAATGGATCCTTCCGTTGCTACGCTCAGACGAGAGTTCAGAGTTTGTGTTGCCCAAACTCATCCAGCAAACTCCAGTCGATCTTCTCCTCTTCAACGGTCACTTTTCATGCCCAATAATGTAATTCAAATATCAAAAACCAAACACATCTCTACTGCAATTAATACCGGGAGACGGGTTCATTATAAAATCCCCGTCGTTTGCTCGGCGGAGAGAGATTCTCCTGCAAAGCTGCTTAGGCAGATTCTTGAGTTGCCGGGTGTTCATCAAGGCCCTGCTTGTTTCGATGCTCTCAGTGCTAAGCTTGTGGAAAAAGCCGGCTTTCTGTACTGTTTTACCAGCGGTACCTCTTTTCCTCATTTCTTGTACAATCTTTTAATTGGTAGGATGATTTGCGACATATGTTTACTTTATTTTCTGATTTTGTTGTCATGGTATTCTCGGTCTTTGATTAGAGCTACTTGGATTGTGATGGTCATTTACGTCTTGATGATACGTGTATGCTGTTCAAATTAGAGGGGAATCTTTGGTGACTGTGATAATCTCAAGACATGAATTTATCCGGATTGTATGTGACGGCGTAAAATTTGGTTGTTGAAAATTCTGCTCTACTGTGCAGTAATTTTTGTTATTTTGTTATCGTTACGTTGCTTGGAAAACATTCGTCTTCTTCTATTGGAGCTATCCTAGTCCTAGAGAAATACTTGCAGTTTCTTGGATTTCACTTCTACTCTTTATTGGGTTTGATCTCCTTTCTCACCTAGTTAATAAAGACGGGTGGAACTTGTTTGTGAAGAAATGCTGATATTGATTATGATACATTGGATAAGAATTTATTATGGGAAATGCTTGTGTCGTAATTATAATCTTGGGATTTTGCAAGCTCTTTGTTTGTGAAGTGGAATATTGTTTTTGTTTTGCTGGAAAGGAAGGTGATGGAAGGGCAATTGCCCAATAGCTAGAGTAGAGGATTTGAGTGAGACTATTGATTTTATAGACAATCATCTTGTTATTAGTTGTTAGTATTTCATTGTGTCGAGTAGGAATTAGCAAATGGTGTTAGAGTGTGTTATTCCAGCTTGTTCTGTAGGTAAGTTTCTTATGGACTCCGTGTCAAATGGGACGGATTTAATGAGAACTGAGTAGGAATTAGCTATGTGTGGAGTGCAACTGAACCGGAAAAGAAATCAGTATCTTATTGTCTTCTCTTTTTGTGAATTGTTTACATTCTTGTGATCCAAACCATCTATTTCTCCTAAAAACCTTAGTTGCATATCTACATCCAAGAACCAGTACTACAGCTTGCCATTCTAATGACTTCAAACACTTTGGGGGAAATTGGGAATGAGCAAGAGTGTAAAATGAGGGCGTGGGGAACAATAAATGAAATCTTATAATTAGAGGATCCTTAAACTTAAATTGGTTATTAGGAGAAATCTGTATTGTCTAATGTGGAAACTTAGGTTATTTGAGTCTCCCTAAAGTTAATGTGCACGCATGAGCACTTATGACTGTTCAATTGCTTGGGAAGACTAGCTTCCACCATTCCTTTTACTAACTTCATCCTTCTTATACTGAACAATCAGTAGGGAAAGCTTATTGATAAGGTCCTATGTCTGTAAGCCGGTAATGGCCTGATGAAAGTTGAATCTTGAATCCTGAAGAAGGTTGAATTTTGAATCAAGGGGGCAGCTTTTTCCAAGACTTTCTTTCCTTGTAACTTATGATGAGTTAGCGTTAAGGATTGTTGGAGAATCCTTTCATCTCCTAGAGTTAGGTACTCTAAATCCATAAAAGAATATTTAGTTGTTTTTTGGTATAAACCAAGTACATTGTCAGGAACATCAGTGGCAAAATAACATCTTTCAATAAGGCTGCTTTCTCACTTCTTCTGATCTGTCACTCTCTTTCCACTCAGCCAATTTTGTTGTTTTAGGGTTTGAAGAAAATTCTGAAATTAAAACCCTAAAAATAACTTTATTTGACTTTGATACCATGTTGATTTTTAGAGAAAAAATAATAATTTCATTTCTCATTCTTTAAATTGTTACATTTAAAATATTTATATAATTTCTAACACAGTGATAAAGAAATTCCTTTTCTACTAAACTTCTAATTATATGAGATTATTATTCTCATATAATTCTAATTATATAATATTAAATAATTTAATAATAACTAAAATAATTAAATAATAAAATATAGTAGTCAACACAACAACCCTTGCTTAGTGCACTTATGGATTCTAACTTTATAATGGAAAATCAGGGTGGTCAAGAAAATGAAGTTGCAGATGCCCTATCATGACAACATGAAGAGCAAGGTTTTTCAACTCCATACCCATTGCTCAACTGAATTTTCTATTAGGGGTGAATTAAGGCGTCCTGTGAATTACAGCAGTTGGTTGCTAAGGTTTAGTTAGATAAGGCAGTTGGCCATGGGCTTACAAAGATGGGTAATATTCATTAAGAGTCGGGTATCCTTCCCCACTTTCCTCCAGTTAGTCTAGCTATATATGCCCTAAATATTGGGGCATGAGGGGCATCAGAAAAATAGTAAGATGAATTGCTAGTGAATTTTACTTGCAAGCCCTTAAGCAGCAAGTTCAGAGCTATATTCGAACTTGCTCAATTTGTTGGCGGCTCAAAATGTTCCATCCACAACCAGCAGGTTTGCTTTCTGCTCAGCCATCCACAACCAGCAGGTTTGCTTTCTGCTCAGCCATCCACAACCAACAGGTTCTCGAAATATGCACACTTTCTTCCAGTTGTTCATCCATAAACTGCAATAATTGTTGCCTAAATTTTTGTCAAAAAGATCTTTAAACTCTGTGAACTGCCAAATTTTTTTTTTTTTCTTGCAACAAGGTGTTACCTTTCTTAGTGGCTTTAGAGGAGAGTTTTTTTGCATGTGTAGCACTAAGCTATTCTTTAGCTTAACCTGTCGCTCTCAGTCGAACTTGGAAACAGAAGTGGTCAATCGTAGTATCCTTTTATGGTGTCTTACAAGTGGCTGGAAGCTATGTTGTTAGATTGGCTATCTTAGGCTGAATTTCAGTACAATACTAGCTTTTATCCCTCGTTGAAGACCGCAATCCTTTGAAGTTGCCTACCATGAATTCACTGGAGATCAATTGTTGCATAATCTCTGTGACTGCTTACTTCAAGCACAAGTAGACATTAATACAGTTTATGACAGCTACCACATAGAGGTTTAGTTTGATATTGGTGATTACATGCTATTCAACCATATTTGTAGTTATCATTGGAGGGAAAAGGTCTCAAGAAACTCATATCGAATTCCGTGGTCCTTTTCCTTTGAGGAAATGGATTGGATGGGTTTCTTACAAGCAGGCTCAAGTCTCTTCCTCACGAAGCTCGAATTCATCCAGTTTTCCGTGGCTCATGCTTGAAAGGAATGCAACACCACCAAACTTGTTCAACTTCATCTTAAACTTCTTCTCCAATTGGCGAAAATTATCCCAGTACCTTGGGCAGTTTGGACCAGAGAACCTGAGCGGGCAGACAGTAAATTCTCATCTACTGGAAAACCTTTTTTTGTTTTTGAAATAAATCTACTGGAAAACCCTTTCATGCCTCTTGGAAAGATGCTTAGTTGCGGGAATGATGTTCAACGTTGGTGGTTGAGGGCAAGCAACATTTGAAGGAGAGAAGTAATTTTATTCCCAATTAATATGGTGACAAATCCGCTTACTGATTTGGTATACAAAAGAGGGACCTACGGATTGGTCATGCAGGAGGGAAGAGCTAAAGAACAATAATTTTAACATTGAAGTAGTGTTTTAAGGTTCCTTTAGCATACAGAAGTTCTTTTACTCTCTTCTTAAAAATACATCGGGTTTATACAAAACATCTTCTAAAAGTTTCTTTCTAATTTCTGGCCAGCCAGAATTTACAGTAGTAGATCTTAGTTTTTTGTCCTGAAGTCTGTTAAAATATTTTTCCTTCTCTCTCTACATCATCCAGCAAGAAGAGTTTGGCTTAAACTCTTACTTGCTATGAGATTAAATCAGATGTCTTTTGCTTTTAATATCTATTTACAGTTATCTAAATAAAGGTCAGAATCCTGGGCTAAATATTAAGGCTGCTGATACCTACAGACAACTCATGAACTATAAATCATGGTTATCGGAATAAGATTCAAGGAAGAGGGCAGCCGGCGCTTCTCTATGTACATATATGTTTTCTTTACAGCATCATCTAATCTCATATGGTTTTAGAGTATGTAACTCTAAGAGATCTCAGTGTTTCCTCCTGTAAGCTTATTAGGTCAGGAAGGGGGGAAATCCTCGAAACAAGTACCTCGGTTGATTCAAAATTTCAGACTTAATTTCCCACAACCCAAACACAGACATGGGATTAATCGGATCATATTTACTTTTTTTCTTTAAGAAAAGAACAATTCAATTTAATTTGGGTATAGAAGCTGGTGTTTTACTGAATTGGCACTTAAAGATAAGCAAAGACAGAATAGACAAACTCCTATAAACTAAACAAACAAACCTTTGTTATGGGCTCCAGGGGCAACGGGACCGATTTAAGCTAAATGCTAAGTGTAAGTAAACAAAAAAAGAAATCAATAAAAAAATCAGTAGCTTCTTTCTCTCCTCCTCTTTGTTATTTCTCTAAATTTTTCTCTCCCAAATCCTTCTATTTCTTTGAGAAAAATTAGTTGCAGATGTATATCCCAACGGAATGTTAGGACCTAGTTATGGTAATCTGCTGTTTTTGTTTTAAACTATAATATATTGATGAAGATACCCTGTAAAAAGAAAACAAAGTATTTTAAGTTTTTGAGAACCTTTTGGTTACATCCAGTGAATATAATATCAGTAACTGCTGCAGTAAAATGTCTATTTCCTCCTTGTTTCTCTCTAATGTGATTGTTTTTATTTCTTGTTTCTAAATTATTATTATTTATTTTTGGTTGAAACCTTGCAAAGTTGCTTCTAAGGCTATATTTAAATTATTGTTTCATGCTTTAGTGGGATTTACTATGTTCTATTTAGATAATTTAATTTTCTCCTTTAAAATGATTTCTTCTTCAGCAAAAAATATGTAACATGAAAAGTTGGTTACCAGGAGATCTGTTTGTTTTCTTTTAAAAGTTCAAGTAACAGGGGATTGAACCCCAGACATATACCACTGGACGAAGTTTCTGCCAATTGAGCCTATTGGCTCTAGCTAGGAAAGCTGTTTGTTGATAACATTTCATGTCTCTCTTAGGATTTTCCATATCAGCAGCCCGATTGGCATTGCCAGATACAGGACTTATTTCATATGGGGAAATGATAGATCAAGGGCAGCAGATTACTCAAGCTGTATCTATTCCTGTCATTGGAGATGGTGATAATGGATATGGTAATGCAATGAATGTCAAGAGAACTGTCATGGGATATATTAAAGTCGGCTTTGCAGGGATCATTCTTGAAGATCAGGTATGTACTCTAGAAAATTTTTGAACCTTCTGAATGTTTGTACTTTTTCTCCTTTTCTAGGCAAACGTGCATGCTTTTATAAATCTTATGTTTCATTCCCTTCATGCTCTTGCTTATCTTGCCTATTACTTTTAGATCTTGGTCAAATAAGCTTTCATTTGATGATTTTGTAATTTCAAACTAATGGTTACGGTTCAGGTATGCACTAACCAACATCCTTTTTGGGTAGTTGTGGTCTACCTAAATTCTGTTAATCGATTCTCCAGCAATATTCTAAGACGGCTTTAGTCTTAGTGTTTAGAGTTAATATCCTCAGCGTTGCCTAATAAAGAAAAAAAGCAAAACAAAACAAAATGGAGATTGACAGAAAAATGCAGTATTTCTTCTTTCTTTCTCTCTTTTTTTTTTGAAAATTAGAAAAGGAAGATATTAGATGAAGAAATGGGGCACCTAGAGGAGTATAACGTATAATACAGAAAAGGGAAAACATGCAAAGAAACAATGAAGAAAGCAAAAAAAAAATGTCAATAAAAGATCACAACCTGTTGGAAAGTGTATATATGTAATTGGGTTTGTGAGGGTATAATAGTAAAATACTCTTATGTAATTAATTCTAAGGTTTCCTTTTCATATTTAAAACTGTGATAGGAATCTATTCAATAATAAATCAGAACATTCTGTTCTCTCACATGGTACCGGAGCTATAGAAAAGATATTTTAACTTTTTCACAAACCTTGAACTGTTCTTTATTGCGGGATCAAAAAAGAAAAGAAACCCTAAACTCATATCTGCCCTTCAATATCTCCGGCAGGCCTCCATAGCCAGAAAATGCCCCTGCCGCGTTGAAAAGCAGCCTGTTCCAGCACCCCCGATTTTAGCTGCAGCGACTCTGTTTCGCCTCAGTTTCCATGCTCTGTTTTGCCTCTGTTTTCGCCCCTGTTTTAGCTGGGGGCTCTATTCCTGCACTGCGCAGCAGACACTTCTGTTTCTGCCCTGTTTTGCAACCCCTGTTTCCTCACACATCCCCTGTTTTTGATCTGTTCCTGTCTGCACAGACAGCCTGCAGAGCCCCTGCGTGCAACACCACCAGCAAATGTCCCTCTGTTACCTCACAACCCGGATAATGACGCACCTCCATTACTTTAGCACCAGTTACCGTACATGACCCAAGATTCTCTTAGGTGTGGTCAAGAAGGAAGAATCTGGATCCCAAAAAAAAAAATGGTTCAAGCATCAGAGTCAAGTTCTGGAAATGAGATAACTTCTGAGAATCCTTTGCATTTTGACATTAATTTACCTATTTCAACTCAAAAAAGAGGCGCTAAATACCCACTTTATCCAATTTTAAAATTTGTGTCATTTGATAATTATTCACTATCTCACAAGAGGTTTCTTATGAGTTTAAGTACATAATCTATTTCTAGCACATTATCTAAGACATTATTGGAAAATGAAAAAAGGTTATGAATGTTGAAATTCAAGAACTAGAGAAGAACCAGAAGTGGGGTGGGTGGGTGGACCTACCTAAAGGAAAAGATATTGTTGGGTTGTAAATGAGTGTTGACCATAAAGTATAAAACTGATGGTACAATAGATGGATACGAATCAAGACAGGTAGCCAAGGAATATTCGCAGACTTATAGAATAAATTATCAAGAAAGTTTTGTACCTGTTGCCAAGATGAACAAAGTCTGAGTTCTATTGTCTTTAGCTGCCAACTTTGATTGGTAATTACAACATTTTGAAGTGAAGAATGCCTTCTTGTATGAAGATCTTTAGAAGGAACTTTACTTTAAAATTCCACTAGGTTCACAAAAAATATAGGAGCAAATAAAGTCTACAGATCAAAAAAGATTTTTAATGAACTCAAACAGTCATCAAGGTTATGGTTTGAAAGGTTTGAAATAGTGATGTTGGGAATGGTGGATACAAACAAAGTTAAGTAGACCACATCCCGTTCATCAAGTTCTCTGATTTGGGGGAAGTTACAGCTTTATTTGCATATGTTGATGACATTGTTATGATAGGTACGATGAAAAAGATAGGTCGCTACTCAAACAACACTTAACCAAAGAATTTGAAATTAAAGAACTGGAGGGGCTAAAATATTTGAAATTTGTAAAGGGATAGGGATGAAAAAATACTAAATATTTACTTGTTTCTTATTGAAATAAGAATATGGATATATATACATGTAGATGGATTCATATATGGTAACCAATATAAATTATCCTATTAATTACGTTAACATATTTGGAAAAATAATTATACTATTATATATAAAGAATATTCTATAAACACTCCTCTTCAGGCTGGAGTATAAATATTAATCATGCTCAGTTTGTTCTGAAAATACTCAATCCGTGTTGTATTCAGAGGTTTTGTGAATATATTACCAAGTGATTCTCCTGTTTTCACATAACCAGTAAATATAAAATTTTTCTAAATTTTCTCTCGAATGAAATCACAATCAATCTCGATATGTTTAGTTCTCTCATGATGCATAAGATTTAAGGAAATATGAAGGGTAGCCTGATTATCGCACTAGAGTTTCGCAGGAGATGTAAGTCTCAAATCTACTTCATCTAAAAAATGGTGTATTCATAAAACTTCACATGTGGATTGGGCCATAACTCTATATTCATACTCTGAACTTGAGCGAGATATAATTGATTGCTTCTTACTTTTTTATTATACGAGATTCCCACCGACAAAAGCACAATATCTCATAGTAGACCTTTTATTAATTTTGAATACAGCCCAATCAGCATCTGTAAAACATTTAATGTGAGTATATCCGTGATTTCTAAACACTATACTAAGTCCTAGATCATCTTTTAACTAGCATAAAATCTGTTTCAGAACTTTCCAATATTTGACTATAGGTGTAGACATAAACTGAATAACAATATTGATAGGATATGCAATATCTAAACAAGTCATAGTAAGGTAATTCAATTTTTCAACTAGTTATCTGTATTTTCCTCGATTATCAATTGGATCATCATCATCTTTTATAAGATGTACGTTTCATACCATTGATGTATTGTATAACTTACCTCCCAGCTTTTCTATTTCTGCAAGTAGATCGAGTACATATTTTCTTTGAGATAATAGAATTCTTTCCTTACTTCATGTTACTTCAACCCCCAAAAAGTATTTTAACTGTTTTAAGTTTTTGGTATTAAACTTAGTATCCAAGAATGACTTGAGAGAAGATATTCTTGCATGGTCATTTTTTATAATCACGATATCATTAATATAAATAATAAAAAATGTAATAACAGCTGTTGATTAGTTATAGAAGACTGAATGATCACATTTACTCTTTTTCAATCCGAACTCACAGACTACCTCACTAAACTGGGCAAACCACGCATAGGAATTCTGCTTCAGACCATATAAAGATTTCTTCAAATAATAGATTTTTCCATACTCATGAGTAAGAAACCCAGGTGGTTGCTGCATATACACATTTCTTAAGAGATCACCATGAAAAAATGCATTTTTAATGTCCAGTTAGTGTAAGGGCCAATCTTAGGTGGTTGTAATAGATATGAATAAATGGATAGAAGTACGTTTGGCCAATGGAGAGAATGTATCAGAATAGTCCACTTCATAAGTTTGAGTATAGCATTTCGCAACCAGTCGAGTTTTAAGTCTCGCCACAAAGCTATCTGAATTCAATTTGACTGCAAATACCCATTTGCACCCTACAGCTTTTTTTCCTTTGGGTAAATCTAGCAGATTCCAGGTATAATTATCATCAAGAGTATTTATCTCATCAAGTATGACATTACGCCAATCAGGGTGATTCAAAGCCTTATTAACTATCTTGGGTATAGAAGTTAAATTTATAAAAATAATTAAAGCATTAGATGAAGGAAGCAGATGATCATATAGGATAAAATTAGGAATGGGATAAGTTGGCATAGGAATAGTGCACTGATGTTTACCTTTATGAAAACCAATAGGAAGATCAAGGTCCTGTGAGGCAGAATCAGATGAGAACGGATCTGGTGCAGGATACGTATTATTAGTTTGTTGTCTTTTGAAATAAATATGAACAATTATTGGGTGGTATTTGGGTCAGAGGCACATGAACACTATCATCAACTTTCTCAAGTAGTGTTGGAGGCACATCATCTGGAGAAATACTATTATTTGTTTGTTTTAGTAAAGACACCTAGTGTGAAACTATAGATGAGTCACTCGTTGTCCACCATTTTGACTTGTAGACTTGGACAATGAAGAGAAGAATGATATATTTTTCTAAAAAAACCAAATCAGTTGATATCAAATATTATTGAAGATATGGGAGAATAACACTTGTATCCTTTCTGGAGGTGA